CAGTCGGGGAGCTCAGCGTCGTCGCCAAGCTCTGTACGCCAAACGTCGCCCAGACGGGCGAAGCAGTGGGACTCTGTGTGACCACGTGTCCCGCAAGGCTGACCAGTCCGGACACCTGTGCGAATGACGTACGGGCAGCGAGCAGTACTCAGTGACCCTCTACTTTGAGCGTACCACTCACGAAGCTGCTGGGGCGAAAGAGCCTCGCGTAGACGACGCGGCTGCTGCACCGGGCCACTACAAGAAACTCCCGAACTACCCACTCCAGGACGACTCCCACTACTGCCACCCCGACAACCCCAACTGGCGTACCACTCACAAAGCTGCTGGGGCGTGAGGGACACACGCGGACGGCCCTGGAGCTGCATCTGGCCACGCCAGGAGCAGCAGTAGAAGCAGTAGCAGCAGCAGTAACAGCAGTAGTAGTACGGGCAGGGCAGTGCTCACCAGTGGTGGGAAGGGCAGGCGTACGAGCGGGGCGACTGCGGGGCCGCCACAGCGGCCGCTCCAGGGGCGGCTGCTCCAGGGGCGGCTATTCCAGGGGCCAGGAGCGGCTCCTGCAGTGGCAGCTGCTCCAGGGGCGGCTGCTACTGTGGCCAGGGGCGGCTGCTGCAGGGGCGGCTGCTCCAGGGGCGAGGGGCGGCTCCTGCAGTGGCGGCTGCTCCAGTGGCCGGCTGCTCCAGTGGCCAGGGGCGGCTGCTGCAGGGGCGGCTGCTCCAGAAGCCAGGTGTGGCTGTTGCAGGGGCGTCTGCTCCAGAGGCCAGGCGCGGGTTAGGTCAGGGCGACTCAGCGGGCAGGGGCGACGCGCGGGCAGTGGCGACGCGGCGGGCAGGGCGACGCGGCGGGCAGTGGCGACGCCGTGGGCAGGGCGACGCGGCGGGCAGGTGGCGACGTCGCGGGCAGGGCGACGCGGCGAGCAGGGGCGACGCCGCGGGCAGGTGACGACGCGGCGGGCAGGTGGCAACGCCCCGGGCAGGGCGACGCGGCGAGCAGGTGACGACGCCGCGGGCAGGGCGACGCGGCGGGCAGGTGGCAACGCCGCGGGCAGGTGACTACGCCGCGGGCAGGGCGACGCGGCAGGCAGGTGGCGACGCCGCGGGCAGGTGGCGACGCCGCGGACAGGTGGCGACGCCGCGGGCAGGCGGCGACGCCGTGGGCAGGGGCGACGCCGCGGGCAGGTGGCGACGCCGCGGGCAGGTGGCGACGCCGCGGACAGGTGGCGACGCCGCGGACAGGTGGCGACGCCGCGGGCAGGCGGCGACGCCGCGGGCAGGGCGACGCGGCGGGCGGCGAGAGCCTGCAGGGTCGGCGCGCGGTCGGGCAGAGGCTGCGCGCGGGCCTGACGGGTCTGCAGGGGCGGCTCTCGGGCCTGACGGGCCTGCAGAGGCGGCTCGGGGGGGCCTGACGGGTCTGCAGAGGCGGCTCGGGGGCCTGACGGACCTGCAGGGGCGGCTCGAGGGCTGTACTAGCTTGCAGGAGGCAGCGCGAGGGCTACAGGACGGCACTCGGGCAGACCGAAGGGCGGGGCGCGCGAGGGCGCACGAGCAGAGAAAGGCGCACGAGGGCGCACGTAAGGTAGGGCGCACGAGGGCGCTTCTAGCGGAATAGTGGGCCCGTAGTAGAAAGCGGTCCTAGGTAGCAACCTAGGCTCGTGATACCATGTTAGAATCTAGAATAGAACGAGAATGATCAAACTAGGAATGATGGGGATACAAGTAGGCAACCCTAGCAAAGTTGTACCCCCTAAGGCTAAACCCACTATAGCCTACACAATATAAACATATAATGTTTGACACTGGGTGATGTGGCCGCGGTAGGAGTCCAACACCAGCATCGCACGCCTCGCGTTCTGGCCACGCTGGGGGTTCAGATGGGGCAGCACCTCCTTGGTCAGCCAGGTCTGCACGGCGCTCTCGTCCATCCAGCCGTTGTCCTGTGCTTGGCATACGATTCCTGCCAGGCACATAGGGGATAGACGGGCGTCAGCCAAGGAGGGCAAGCTCATCAGGCTTACGGCTCCCGAATTCCTTGAGCTTACCTTCCGGAATCTCACAGTTGGGCACGTTCTTCAGCTTGAACCAAACCCACGGGCGCAGCTTCTCCCCAGATGCGGTGCACGCAAGCATCACCGTGAGCCGAGTCTTCTCGTATCCTGCAGTGCGGATTGGGACCGAGCGCGCGCCACGGTGCTCGATCGTCCTCTCGGCCGGCATCTCAACGAAGAGGGGCGTCTGGTCCACGTTGATGATGCAGGCCAGGTCGATGTTGTACCGCGCCCTGTTGATGCGCACGAACTTCCAGAACGACTCGCAGTCCTTAGCGCACTCTGCAAAAGGAACACACGCCACGACAGGAGGGGATGGTTAGAAACAAAGGGCGAGGAACATGCCGTCAAGCATCGAGCGTGAATTCAAAGCCTTTACCACTCACCAGCCGATAACCGTTGGCCGACTTTGGTCTTCACACGCATGACCAGGTTCCAGCGGTCACGGAAACGCTGGCTCTAGTGAGAGCTCGCATTCCAGTTCTTGCCGGGGTGGTGCTTCTTCATCCACTCGCGGCTCCACTTCTGGGTGTCTTTCAACGAGATCGCCACCCCATTAGCGCGCTGCAGACAGACGTATCGATACAACGCCGCCTCCATGTCGGGGTAGTGTGCGTGGCGGCCCCCCCCGTGCATCCGCTTGCGGCAGTTCGCCGCTCCCTTGTAGACGCCCGCAGCCGCCTCCGCACACCAGCGTCTGATGCAGGCGATGGATGCGGTAGATTCCACGGATGTCTTCTTCAAGGAGCCGAGCTCGTGGTAGCGGCGCGCCCATTTGAGCTTCTCGCGTACGGTCCATCCGCGTCGCCTTTTCTTACTGTCCTTGCTGCGAGGGGAAGGTGGACGGGAGTTGGGATTATGGAGGGTGGGGTCTTTCGTCTTCGCCTTCTCAGGGAATGAAGGAATCGGGCCTGCAGCCTCCGCGTAGTCATCGTCGCTGCCGAGCGCCTCGTTGACCACGATGTCGTCCTTGTTTGTCGTTTTCTTCTTCTTCTTCTTAGCAACACCCGTACTGGATCCGGGGTCGCCGTCGTTCTTCCGCTTCTTGTGGCTTGTGCGGCGACGAACGGTGGCCTTAGCAGGGGCTTCCGCGACCGCGCTTTTCCCCTTGTCTGCAGCAGTGAAGCGCGGTTGACGCTCCTCCCCCGGACTGTCGTCATCAGAGAGCACCACGCGGGCACGCTTCGGCTTGGATTGTAGGCGATGACGCAGCCTCCGCTTAAGAAGCGGAACATCGTCGTCACCCGTGATGTTCCACATGTCGTCATTGGAGTTTTCACCATCAAATAAGACAGCATCAGCACCTCCCTCCGCAGCATCCGTATCCGCCTCCGCCACAGCATCCGCATCCGAATCCTCAATTGCGGCCACATCCGCGGACGCAACAGCATCGGCATCCGCTTCCGCCTCCTCTTCCGTCCTCGCTTCCGCATCCGCCTCGTCGTCAGCCTCCGCATTCGCATCCACCGTCGCTCCCGTTGCATGCGCCGCTGCCTCCGCGGGCTCACCATCAGCATCGGCACCCTCGTCGTTGTCCGAATCACCAGCCCGCCACTCTTCCACTTCGTCCTCACTCCCAACCGGCCGATTCCACCAGTCGTCCTCGTCGATGTCGGCAGGAGCTATTTCATCCCCCGAAGCGCTATCGTCGTGGCCGTTCTCCGGCCAATCCTCCTCGACGTCGTCGCCGTGTTCTTCGTCGCCATCGTCGCCGTGTTCTTCGTCGCCGTCATCCCCGTCACAGCTCGCACCGGAGGCGGCGGTAGATGTTCATGCCTTGCGCGTATTCTTCGCCATGGCCACACGGATGTCATCACCGGGCGAGTTAATTCGCCCGTAGTTATTCACCTGCACGTGAGGGCGAGGTGAGGACGTGCCTACGGGGACTTTTCTGCGCATGGTTACGGTAAGCGTGCCGAGAGCGAAGGTTGAGTTGAGATCCCAACCTCCTTGAGCACCAAATTAAGCTCAAGCCCGACTACCCCCCCCCCCAGCCAGAGTGCCCCTTCCAAAGGTGCCGAGCCGCTCCTCACGCTGCCATCGTGCTGCCAGCAGCGTTCTGGAAGCATCCATGCGTTGCTGGCAGCATCATTACATGCTGCCAGCACTGAGGGATGTTGCCAGCAGTGGCAGCTTTGCTGCATCCCTCACGTGGCAAGTGGGGGCGCTGCATGCATCACCACCGAGGTCGTCCTGTTTCAATGAATCTGGCCCTTGGGTGGTTTCTACACACTTTGCAAATGTTACAGAGTACTTATATTTTTTTCCGTTTATAAGACATCCTAAACCATCCCAAATACAAGATAACCCAAGCATTTTGAGTAGTGTACGAGATAAGACATATATGTCTACTATCCGAGCGATGACGGTAGACCATTGGGATAAATGACTTGTTCAGTAGCGGGTCAGTGCGCCCATAACCCCCCCGGACAACATGCATATAACCTTTCCCTAGGATCAATCGGGGATCATTAGTGGACCTCTGACAGTGCCTACTTTGCCTCACTTGCTCTCTGCATGACTTTGCTTGTACTGTGATCTATATATATACCTACATGTTTATACTAGCTAGGGTATGATCACTGTACTATTTGTTTTCTTTTATATAACTCTGCATGTGAACTAACCTTGTGGCCATTTACTTGTGCTCAGAATACGTAATGACTTCGTGATCCACCCTCAGCTTGCTTTGCTTTTCTTGATTGGTCTTGTGACCACTTATTCTCCCCCACTGTGCCTATGGGGGTGTGCTTATATTGTATAGGCTATAATGGAGTAATCCACAAGTACAATCCAATCAGGGTTATTACTTGTACCCAACTTTCTCGTTCAGTTGTGTCGTGATACCGACACACTCAATTGCCTTCACCCTACGAAGTTAATAATATATCCTTGCTTCCCCATATAACCTCAGATCAGATAGTAGCACTCTAGTTCCCTCCAGTCACTTCAGCAGTCAGAAACCCTCAGGATCGCGTCTGAGCTGGTAGAACAGAACATAAGCCGACGACGAGATAACAGCAGAAGCAGCAATGGGCGACACACCGCTGTCATTAAACAGATACCACTGCCCGTCCGCAGGGTTACGGCAGTGCGCTGTGTAGTGCCCCGAGGAGAGCGACCCCATGTGGTTTGTCACGGCGTATAGATCGTACACTGGGGCTGATCCGCTGGGACTGGTGGGGTAACTTGTGCTCTCGGGGCTGGAAGGACTGACAGGCTCTGTGGAGGGATGCTCTCGAGAAAGTGAGCTGTTGGGATGATGGGAGGGAGGAGTGGGAAGCGGGAGAGGAGAGGCAGGGTGTGAAACACTGAGCCAAGCACAGAGAAGCACAGCACAGCAGAAATAAGAGTGGACAGAAATAAGAGCAGGAATCTAAGCTTCCGTCAGGCATAACGACTCAAGGAGAGAAAGCAAGCAAGCGCACCTTTGGAATTTTGAGAGGTCAAGGCTGTGTAGGTCACAGGAGACAAAGGTGGAGTCCTTTTGAAAGAGGGAGATCGCTGACGAGGCTACTCTCTGTTGCACATGCGACACAGTGAGGGGAACAAGGACAAGACCCGGAAATTTGTTTTAGGACTTATCCAAGCTCGTGAAGAGTTACAAGAGTTGAGGTATGTATGCTCAACACCTAGCCACCAAATGTAACGAGGACCTACCTTGATGTGTATAACGAGGATGGAGGGGAAGCGCACGACGGACAGTCGTCTCACGGCCTTGCTCGGCTTCTTGCAGTGCGAGCATGAGTACTGTAGTAAGCAAGCAAGGGAAATGGGGAGGGCAACACGGGGTAGGTTGATTAGGTTGACCTGAAGATGCAGGCAGGTCAGACTTAAAACACAAGGCAGAATTGGTGACATGCAGGAAACAAACTGATGAAATGCAAGGAACAATCTTGGAGGCCAGCAGCAGCATGAGATCCTGGTGTGTTGCCGATAGCAGAAAATCAAGCAAGTGGTGGGAGAGGTTGGAGGGCTGGGGGTAGTTGGTGGGGGTGGAGGGTGGTGAGGGGAGAGGGGGGGATGGGTGGTGAGTAGAGGGGGTGGGCATGAATTGGGGAAAGGGATGAGGGGAGTAGGAAGCATGGGGGTTGGGAAGGCTGGAGCTGCTCACCGCATTGTCCCCCTGCAGTGTTTCTTCCACCAGGAGCTCCCCCGGGCAGTCGCGGATGGAGGGCGCATGTTGAGACGTCTCGAGAGTCGGAAATGTGGGGGTAGGGAAGGAAAGGGCTGCTTACCGCATTGTCTCCCTGCAGCGTTTCTTCCGCCAGGAGTTCCCCCAGGCAGTCGCGGATGGAGGGCGCGCGGAAGGAGAAGAAGCGGCGGCGGGGGATGGGCACAGACAGGTCCAAAAAGGGGTCGAAGCAGTGCGAGCGGTGGTGGCAGGTCTGGCACTCGATCGTGCTCTGCAGCTGCCCGCAAAATATCTGCTGGATGGGGCTGGCGAACCGCACGCAGTGCTGCCGCCAGAGGGCGTCCGCTTGCTCCGCTTCGGGCAGCTGGTCGAGGTTTTCGGGCAGGCTGTGACATTTTGGGAGCTGTGGGGAGAAAGAGGGAGGAGGGATTGTAGAAGGGGTGAGAGGGAGTGGTATGGATTAGCAAATAAAAGCAATGGCGACTGGTAGAGCAATGCAGCATGCATTAGGCCTTAAGCGCTAATAACAAGTAAGGCCTGTTCTATCAACACATCAGCACCATTAACCCTTAAGTTCTTACGACGCTATTAACCCTCTCATCTCGTGCAATCAATCCGTAAGGCAAGCACACACAAACTTTGCTTCTTGAAGCCTGACTCTCCCCACCACGTTTCTGCCTCCTCTCCCCCTCTCTCTCCCTCCCTCTCACTCTCCTCATCCTCGCTCATCGCCAGTTTCCACTCACTCACCTCGCTCTGCCCCCTCGTCTCCTCGTCCAGTTTATCCACCAGCGACCGCAGAAACTCCTGCGAGTCGTGCTGCCCGAACCCCGCGAAGTGCGGCACGTGCTTGTGCACGCTCGACAGCAGCTCCGCGGGGCTGATTGCGCCCGCCGCCTCCCCCGCCCACAGCTTCGTTACTAGCCGCCCGAAACTCCGCGACACCTCCTTCACCTCCTTCCCCCCGCTTTCACCTCCGCTTCCGCTTCCGCACTCGCGCGCCTCCGACCACGCTGCGCGCGCGCCCTCCGCGGGAGCTCCGCGCAGGGAGTCCGCGCACGCATCAGCGCCCGCGTCCCGCGGGCGCAGGGAGTCGGGGAGGGCGGGGAGCGGCAAGGGGAGATGCGGGGGACCGACAGCGGGGCTATGGCCGCCGTTAAGACCGCAACCCACGGGGACGGATAGCGGGCTCCCGATCGACGATCCTCCGAAGACTAATCCGCTCTTTAAGGACGTGACGTGGCACGGAACTTTCGGGGATGCGGAGCCGAAGGACAGGTTAAAGCACCCGTCGCTACGAACATGCCCTACGTGGGTTTTCTGGCAGCCGCCACGGCATTCCACCAGCAACAATGACGACGATAACGTCGCATGAGTCGCAGGCGTCGCATGCAGCGGACCACTGAAATTGACAGTCGCGCGACCCTCCTCGGAATCGCCGCAGCCGCGGTAGCACGTCGAACTCAACGGCCCGCTCACGGAAATTCCCTGCCGGCATGGGCTGTCCCTCGCACGCGTGAACTGGTTAGCTGAATCCGCGGAATTTTCTGAACACAGAGCGGTACTGCACGGTGAACAGATTCTATTGGGCTGCTGCTGCTGCCGCTGCCGACCCAACGCCGCAGCCACCGCCTCGCCAGCTTCCCTCAGCGACTCTTCCCTAGCACCCACCCGTTCCCCTGACCTGCCACCGCCAATTGCGGCCGGGAACCCATTTCCAGCGAACCCAGTGCGATTACCAGACGACGCGCCACCTGCCAACTCTGTTCGCGAGGGTGGAAGCCCCTTAGCGGCGGCGGCGGCGGTTTCTTGCACAAAGTAGAGGGCGAGGGGCATGGAGTGACTAAGACACTGCACGCACGCGTTCATAAAGCACGTGTTGCCTAGATTCTTCAGCCCTACCAGCGGCCGCGGCCGCTTGGATTGTTTGCCGCCCGAGCGAAGCCTGAACGTGGCGAAACCTGTGCGACTATCGTCGTTGTCGCCGGGCGGCGCTGGTCGCTTGGCGACGCCAGCTTCGACCAGGAGTTGCTGCAGCAACGAAGCTGCCTCGGCCGGAGGCAGGGAGAGGAGGTCGAGAGCGGCCGACGCGCATGGCGACGCGTGCAAGGCTGACTCTAACGCGAACGACGGAGACGGCGATGACGATGACGACGACGATGCTTTTCGAGTCGAACGGTCGCACGACGACAATTCGCCAAAATGAGTGACAGATTTGTTTTCACATGACTGCTCCTGCTGTTGCTTCTGCTGCTGCTGTTGCTGCTGTGCGTTAGTCTGCATGACCATACCACCTCCACTCCGCATCTCGAAGCTGATTGGAGGCTCGAGCGGGCAGCACGCGCGACTGGTCGCAAGCTCGCACGCACGCGACGGCGACGATGGCGGGGACGGCGGAGCAGATTCTAGTTCAATCGGCCAAACCAGCGAAGGCGTATGGCTGTTGCTACCACGGCCGTAGAGGCAAGAAAGGTAATCGGCCATTCCAGGAGCAGTAGAGCAAAGCTCGTCGTTCAAAGCAATGCAAGCTGCTGCTTGGGTCATGGTGTCTCAGCAACGGCCCAGCTCTCAGCTCCCAATGTCAGGGAGAATCAGCGAGAGCTAGAAACGGAGCGTGGAGTGGAGGCAACGGTTCTGCTCTGCTCTGCACTGCAAGGCCACTCCCAGTGCGTGGGAGAGAGGCAACGGAAAGCACAGAGTGGCGGGAGATCATTCTGGAGCTCGGGAGAATCGGGGGAACAAGAGGCTGCGGCCAATATCATTGATACTCAAATTATGCCTGGAGCGGTTTACATTCGTACTCAGCCGACATGGTCGCGGTATAGTACTTACAAGTACTGGTTAATTAGGTTACAAGTACAAATATGAAACAATATCGCTAGAAACACTTCACCAGCACATACCCCTGAAAACGGAACAAGATATAAAATAAAATCCTTATATAGCCCTGACACACTTTGGGAAAATCAACCCTAGACACGGGAAGCCATCCAGTGTTTAGGTTTGATGCCTTCCCTTTTTGCCTGCGTTTCTCCATTGGTTAATTTATATGTTGTTCTTTATGGAAGTCACGGTCTGACGCAAGGGCGCGTGAATAAAAATTATATGGTAGCCCATGTCAGGCCGCTTCTGCGTGTTGTGGGCTACGCATTCACCTCGAAACCTCGACACAACCTTGCGTATTTTTGTTCGGTAGCCTCGTTCTGTTTTTGTCCCATCTCAACAGTGTGCTTAGCATGAAAAGTGTGATTCAAAAGCAAGAACCAATCGGCGATGAGAAATGCAGGTTGAGTACCGAGGCAAAACGCTCCTGGCATAATCTGAGTATCAATGAAGTTGGCCGCAAGAGGCTGGGCTGGGCTCCTGTCAGAAGCACAGCACGGAACTGTAGCGTGCGGTGCCCTGCAGCACAGGACATTCAGTCCCAAGCCGTGGGTGCCCCGGCAAGCGCGGCGGTTCGGGAAATGGTGTGGCGGAAGGGCTGCTAGGTGCGGTTCAAGCCTGGGCTCGGGAGTGAAGAGAGACGTGGCCTCGAGGTGGGGTTTGCATCGCTATCTGATTGGTCTGTGGGTCCGCGTCTGGGGGACCGGTTTGGGAGAAGAACCGAACCAGGAAACTTTTTAGCCTCGACTTGTTTCGATAGGCGACTCGCCCCGCTGTTTCCGTTCCATCCGACGGCCAGGACTACCCACGCCGCGCTGTAAAACAAGAACTCATGTGGGTCAACAATTATAAAAGCCGATGTCGACCATGATGGCGTTTGTGTTTAGCAAAACATCGGTTTTAGCGGAAAATATGTTGCAAAGCATATACCTCTTGCAACAAGATGCGCTTTCTTGTGTTCTCACTGGTTCGGCTTGTCAACACACCGAGCTTGCGGCTCCAGCTCCCACAACAAACTTCATGATCGTTGGAACTTGACTGTGACACGTGACCGACGCGACACTGTATGTCCGAACCTATTTTTGGGTTGCGAAGCAACCCTTTACGATCGATTTTGCCAAATTTTATTTTCATAAATATTTTCATATTTTTTTAATAAAATATGAAAATACATTTCGTAAACTACAGTACCCTTCCCAAACTGTTGAGTAGTTTTGAATACTGTTCACAGTATATTAAACCATGTGATCTTCCTTTGTCAATGGTTTTGTGCAGATATGCTATACTGTTTGTATAAATATGTTTTACTATTAAATGATGTTCTTGTAATGATAAATAAATGCATGATGCATAAATAATGCTATAGGAAGCATAATATTAAATATAATGCCATGAATCATGATGCACATGCATGCACATCATAAAATGCGTAACAGTTAACGACCCAAAAACTAAGCTACCGCCATCCCCTGCCTAGCATGGGGGGGAGGTCAATAGCAAAGATTTTGAATAATCAACTCTCACATGAAACAACACAATCTGTGAAGTCTACAAAAAATGTCAACCCTATCAAATCCAGTTCGAAGTGGTCGCACACGAGTCACTGAGTGCGCCAATGAACCTTTTGTGAAATGATAAGCCTGAGCCTTTTTGTTAAAAATCACAGACATGCATTGTTATTGCGATGTATAAATTTACACATACATACATACATACAGACTCACATACACACATATACGTATACATACACACACTTACAAACGCATACACCAAACATAGTTACTCACACAAGCAAACACATACACACAATCAAAAGCACGAACACCGGCAAACCAGCAAAAAACGCGCGATAATAAATAACATGCAAATCAACGTTAAAAGGACAATATGATAAATCCCTATCAGTGACCAATATGTCAGAACATTATAGCTTTTACATTTGTGTAGGCTATAGTGGGGTAGCCCATAAGGGGTACAACCCAATTAGGGTTAGTACTTGTACACAACTCTTTCCTAGTTTATCCATTCTCGTTCGTTATTTTGACATGGAATCAGAGCAGGTTCCTTGGGCCCACCACCTGCTACGCTGCTGGTACCCTACCTAGGCACGACGACCCTAGCCTATACGCGCCCGGCCCGTCGCTCCTAGTCTACGCGCCCGGCCCCATCCCTAGCCCGCGCCCGGCCCCGTCGTCCCTTAGCCCCGCGCCCGGCCTCGTCCCTAGCCCAGCGCCCGCCCCCGTTCCAGCCCCGCGCCCGGCCCCGTCCCTAGCCCGCGCCCCGGCCCCGTCGGCCCTTAGCCCCGTGCCCGGCCTCGTACCTAGTCCGCGCCTGGCCCCGTACCTAGCCCGCGCCTGGCCCCGTCCCTAGCCCGCGCCCGGCCTCGTACCTAGCCCGCGCCCGGCCCCGTACCTAGCCCGCGCCCGGCCCCGTACCTAGTCTGCGCCCGGCCCCGTCCCTAGCCCGCGCCCGGCCCCGTACCTAGCCCGCGTCCGGCCCCGTACCTAGCCCACGCCCGGCCCCGTCCCTAGTGTCAAACTTATATGCTATAGTTTGTTTAGGCTGTAGTGGGGTAGTTCTTATAGGGTACAACACTTTTAGGTTTCCTACTTGTACCCACCTGCTTCCTAGTTCAATCATTCATTCGCTCACTATTCTAACATGGTATTCTGAGCAGGTTCCCTGGTGGGAACGTTTTTTTTAGGGCCCACCACGACTTTTTTTTTTCTGCCCTGCCCGAAGCGCGCCTCGCGCCCTGCCCAAAGCGCGCCTCGCGCCCTGCCCTGATACGGCCCGTCGCGGCCCTGCCTTTGCTGGCCCGTCGCGGCCCTGCCGTCGCCGCCCGTCGCGGCCCCTGCTGCAGTCGCGCCCCCTACTTCCGTCGCGGCCCCTAACTGCCGTCACGGCCCCAACTGCCGTCGCGGCCCTTACCGCCCGTCGCGGCCCCTACTGCCGTCGCGACCCCAACTGCCGTCGCGGCCCCTACTGCCAACGAGGCCCCTGCGCTGTCGCGGCCCTCGCCCGTCGCA